GTGAGCGTAGCAGCAACTTGAGAATAATTCTTGATGAAAATTCGATAGAAGTTGACAAAGCAAAGAAAGCATTGTACATCTCTAATCGTCTTTCGAACTTCCCATGATACAATTTTCTACCTTCTTAAGGTCCATCTTCAAGCCTTCTGAAGTTGCAATGAATTCCAAAAATTCCATCTCAGTTTAGTTAAACAAGCACTTCTCCAATTTGGCATAAAGTCTTCGCTCGCAAAGTTTTTCAAGGACTAGACGAACGTGTTTCTCATGCTCTTTTATGTTCTTAGAAAATATCAGAATATCATCTAGATAGATGACAACAAAATTGTCAAGGTGCTCATGAAAGATGTCATTCATCATATATTGAAAGACCGTGGGAGCATTGGTAAGACCGAAAGACATGACATTGTATTCAAAATGGCTATACCTTATACGGAAAATTGTCTTCCATTCATCTCTTTCCTTGATTTGCACAAGGTTGTAAGCTTTCTTTAGATCAATCTTTGTAAAGATCCTTGTACATCCAAATTGCTCTAGAACACTTGATATCAAGGGTAATGGATAATGATTCTTCTTTATCACCTTGTTGAGACTTCAATAATCTATGTACATCCGTAGCGAGCCATCTTTCTTCTTCATAAATAAGATTGATGCCCCAACTGGTTACTTCGAATGACGAATGAAGTTCTTAGTTAGATTCTCGTCAATGTACTTTCGCAACTCCGCTAACTCCATTGACGATAAATTGTAGATTGGGCCAAAAGGTGGTTGTGCTCCTTCCTACAAGTCTATGGCACAATCATATAGTCAATGCTCTGGTAGCATGTCGGCATTCTTCTTTTGAATCACATCTTCAAAATTCTTATATTGCTCCAGTATACTTGCTGTTGAAACCTTCTCTCCGCTAGTTGGAGTCACATAAATAAAAAATGGTGTGCCTTCTTTAGATGATGTTACAAACGCTCTTGCTCTAATAAATAAGAGTTTTTTGATTCAGGATCTTCTAACAGGCTTACTCTCGAAATGTTCTATAGGAAATGTCATCTTTTATAACATCCAATCTATGGATGGGTTATGCATTTCTAACCAAGAAAGACCAAGAATAATAGGGTTTGATAGGGTTCTAATAATATTGAAAATAATATAATTACTATGGTCTTTAAACGTTACCTCTATAGGTTCAGATTCATGGGTGATACTACCAAACAATAAAGGTCGTCCATCTATTACTTCTACGTGAATAAATTTAGGTTTTTGTATTAGAAGAATCTTGTGATGCTTAGTAAATTCTTCATCTAAAAAATAAGCAGATACTCTTGAATCTAATAATGCTAAGGTTTTTAATTTGTGAGGGCCAAAAGATAGAAGAATGGTAAAACAATGGGCAGGCTTAGCGGAAAGAGAGGAACCTGATTGTTGTTATGGTATTGAATTGTCCAGCCGCATGGTCCCTATTAAGGTTGGGCATCCTCGTTTTTCTCAAGAAATATGCCTCTAGTCTTGAAAATGCATTGATCTTGCTTCTTGGGATAGTTTTCAACTTTGTGGCCTTCTTCACCATAATACAAGCATAGTTCTTCCTCCATATGCTGCTTTTTTTCTTCTAGAGTTAGGGATTTGACACATACCACGTCAATTTGTATGTCTTCCACCTATGAATGTGAATTCAGGTTGTTTGTTGACATAGTTGGAGCGTGGTGAGCCATATGTTGTCTTGAACGTTGGTCTTGGCGACATTGGAACAAGCGGTTATTGTACTTCATAGCTTGACTAATGGCTTCATTGAGCATTTGCGGATCAAGAAGAGATAACAACAAATCCTTCATGTCGTCCCTCAAGGTCCAATAAAATTGACTCATCAATGCTTCCTTGTCCCAGTTGATGTCGCATGCTAATTGTCTAAAATCTGATGTGTAGACTGACGTGGAACGTGCTTCTTGTTATAGTGACCGAATCTTTGTTGTAGTCCATCTTGTCTTGTCATGTTTGCCAAATGCTTCTACAAATGCCTCCAAAAAAGTTTTGAAGTTGTTCAAATTTGACAAACCTTTATCAAATAAAAGAACAAACCATAATAGAGCTTGTTCCATGAGCAAAGTTCCAATCAGTCTAACACATGACTCCTTTGTCGGATAGCGTTTGGCCTGTAAAGCTCTTATCAATCTAAATTGATTGACAAAACCTCGAAACTTAGAACGCGTACCATCAAACTTATCTAGAAGGCTAATTTGGGGCTCCTTTCATTGTAAGACCAACGGTCCTTGTTGAACTAGAGGCAAAGATGCTTCTCTTGGTGCTAAAGCTTGAGGCTAGTGAATCCTTGATTGTGCCATCTCAGATGCCCCATCATTATGAAGTCTTGCAATGTTTCTTTCAATCTCTACAGTTCTTTGTGATAACATAGTAAGAGCATTCATAATGGTGTCCAACTTAGACTCCGAACTTTTAGTCATACTAATATCTTGACCTTTGGCCATTCTAAGAGAAGGAAAGAAATGACTCTACAAGAAGGCAGTATTGGTTCAGAGGAGGGTACTCCGTAACCTCTAAAACGCCTTAAAACCTTCAAGAAGAGGGGTAATCCACTCTCTCCAAGAAAGATAAGACTCTAATATTATAATAGAAGAAATATCAGTTTAGAATAAAGTAATCCGCAACCTCTAAAATGCCAGTACCTTCAAGCAGAGTGAAAATCCCCACTCTAACAAGAAGGAACTAGCTTTGATATGAAAGATGAGTGTAGTCTCGACAAATTGTCACAAATTTAGAATACTGATTGGAAATCTAAACAAAAAGCTCAAGAAGAATCGACAAGAACTAGATTAATCAGATGAGTACAAAAATAATAGTAGAGAGGTGAGCTAGAGCTCCAAGAGATGTATTGTCGAGACTGAGGATCCCTTCAATCTCGACTCCTATATATACTACAAGCTAGGAAACTTCTTAAGTAGCTTTTATAAATTAGGAAGCTTCTCAAGGAGCTTCTATGAGTTAGGAAACTTCTCAAGCAGCTTCTACGAGATTGAAAACTTCTCAAGTAGCTTCTACAAACTACAAAGCTTCTCTAAAATCTTCTAGAATCTTCTACAACTTTCTAGTGTATGTCCTTGATACCTTCTTTGTAACCACTATGTATTTGTGACACTAAGGAGATGGAGAATCAACAACTACTAGATTCAACTCAAGAACTTTCATTTCTTGACTTATTAGATGTGACATTGCGATTGTTACAACCTTGAAGATGACATAATGAAGATGAAGATTCTCAAAAATGACATGTCTTTTCTTAAAGAGATGGCAAGATACAACATGTTTGGTATCACGACCTTAGAAGAGAATCCCAATGATTGGTGATTTTATTAGAGGTAAGAACAATTCTTAACAATCTTTCAAATGTTTTATTTGAAGGAAGTTATGAAGGCCTCAACAATGACCAAATAAGAAGGTGGTCTTTTTGTCTTGATATGGGATACTATTGATGATTGAGAAGATCTATCAATCATCTTCAAAGAGAATAAAGATCAAAGTATATTGCAAATACAATTCATTATATCTTGGATTTCATCAATACATGATAATCGCTCCTTGTGGAATTCATCCGTAGAAGGGAGGATAATGTCACGGATATACATAAGTACTCACCACGTAGTTCTTAGTTAAGAGTACATATTTTTTACATGATTGAAAAGTTAATAAAATTGATTATCTAAAAATATTCTTTTATCTTTTTAATTTTATTTTTTATTTAATAAAACGTGAATAAATAAATTTTTATTAGTTTTATAGTATGTAATTGCTTGATTGTAATTATTTTACTTATTTTATGTTATTTTTTATTATTATTTATTATTTATTATTTTTAACTAAATCCACCTATTACAAAAAATCCATAAATTACTCAATAAAAACACACACGTACATATATTTCATACATATACAAAGTTTGTAGAGAAAGGCTTAACATAAAATAAGAATAAATGTTTCAACTAAAAATTTAAAATATCACAAATAAAGAAAGTACAAAAAAGGTGCAAGTAATAACTCAAAAATAGAATATATAAAGAAGTGCAAGAAAAGATAAGAATGATGATATATAGCTACTTTGTATACAATATCTTATACATGCTACAATAAAGCTTAGTACTCACTAATAGAGGTGCCATACAATAGACAACCTTTGTCTCTAATGGAACAATAATTGCTACCTTATTAAAAAAAAACAAAAAACAAATTGATGTACCATGAATGAATGGAAAAATTGATCAGCATTTAAAATTAGAGTCCATGATCTTAAATTTCTCTCTTCCAACCCTCAATAAATATTCTCCTATGATCATGGATTATCTTTCTCCTATCTTCTATTCTACCAGCTAGTATATTTTCTTGTGAATTGTGTGTTGTCTCCCTCGTATTGACCTCTCAATTCTTTATGAATTTTTCTCTAAGCCATTTTTCTATTTTAATACTCCCTATTATATGCAAGGGAGAAAAAACATTATTCTTTTTATAATAATTTTAGAAGAAAAAAATGATTAGAATGAAGCAGGCATCTACTCTTATGTAAAAAATATTTATAGTAATATTTTACTACTGTTTATAGTTGCAGTCTTCAAGATAATTAAAACAACCAAGATTCATTGTGATTGTGTGTTGTCCAGATCAATTCTCTCGTGTGTGTATGTGTGAGTGTTTTTTTTCCTTCTTCTTTTCGCCACCCCTACTGATTTAGCTGATCGCAAATGCAGGAAAGGATCATCATCTTCACCCTCACTCACTTTGGAGGGAGATTAATTGTTCAGTAGAATACATATGGATGCATACAACACTTTAATCTTGCTGCATTTTATTCTATTGGGGGGGGGGTGCTATTTCCTGCTCGACTGGAATGTGGTGATGGCGCTCCGTATGGCGCATATCGAAGGGGATGATGTGGTGGAAGTAGGGAGTATTTGAGAAAGACGGACAGGGATGGACGAACAGACGGACGGAGGAGGGCTTCTGTGTCTGTTTCTATTGCGTCCTCTTCTTTCTTTCTTTCTTTCTTTCTTTGTTCCTTTCTTGCTGTGCTGCTAACTCCTCCTTCATCTCCTCCATTCCATGCCGTCTCGTCTCGTCTCGCGAAGGGTAGCCTGGTACCAACCAGTGGGAGAGAGGGAGTCTCACCGTCATTATCATCCCCCCGCCCCTTCTTTCCCCCTGAGTAGTTCATGTCAATCTGCCTGGCGCACACCAATCAAACATTCTCTGAACTGCCTTCCTTCTCCGCATCTCGTCACCGAGCCAAACAGCGTCATTGCGATCAAAGCATTGATTGTCCTCTCAGGCCCATTCCATTGCTTCCATCATGGACGCCGCTGCACTGGCTCCCCCTCCTGTTGGTGGAAATGCAGGCCCTGATTCATCTCCGCCACGCTCCCCTGCACTGAAACCCTGGGATCAGCACGGCGGTGTCATCAACATGCCCCGCTACCTCTATTCCTCCGACGCGGTCCCCCTCCTTCATCGTTCGGGCTTCCTCATCACGTGTGCCTATCGTAAGTAGTAATACCCCCGTTCCAACCCGTGACTCACAGTGTATCTGCTTTTCACTTTCTTTTCCCGCTGCTAATTCTCAGGAATTCTCTAGTAAATTTTTAGGGTTACATTTCGTGGCGAAAGCGTTCTAGGAGCTAACATTGCGAAAACATGGGATGACTTTGTGGAATTGCGTAGGGTAGGACGCGAGAAAAGTGCCACGAAGGAGGCGGTGGAGATTCTTCGTGAGGTTTGTGATTCGATCCTTCTTATCGACTTCAATTTCAACAGGCTGAATTGGAGGTCTATACAAAGCAAAGTGAGGCTATTGTAGTCATGATCTGATGTTTTCACGTCACCGATTTCTGGTTGCTTTATCGCGTGATCCTTTTACACTAAAATATGAATTGTGAAAATTCTTTCTCCTCTAGTTCTCCGTTTTATTTATTGATTAAGGATCAGAATGAAAATTTGACAGTTTCTCGATTTTACCAAACCTAACGGAGGTGCGAAACGTGCGAGAACTGAATCGTATTCGGGCTCGACACAACAGAACTCGCTAGGGTTAACCAAGATTGAAGCGCAGTTACGCTCTCCAGAAGAGAGAGATACCAAGGTTGCTGAAGTGGAAAGACAATCTTCATCAACGGGGATTACGGGAAAATTGGATGGCTCAAATACAGATGAGGGATCTCCAACTGCTATGGAAAAGAATGGATTTGGAATGGACCATGCTGAAACTTTTACGTTGAGCGACAGGGATACTGGATTAGGTTGCAGCTCAGCTCCTGATATGAAAGGAGAGTTTCGTTTAGTGAAGCTTGCAAGGAATGGTATGGTCTACATATCAATTCCTTGCCGCTCAGCTGAAGACCTTTTCACGTCCTTCATCAAAATAATCAATGATTTTCACTCAAGAACAAGAGCCGCACCCAGGTCACTCCATCATGTCTCATCTTTGCCTTGGGTTTAAGTAATCTAGACCTTTTTGGGCTTCTTCGAACAAGTGTCACCATTTCTTTTTTTACAACTTAATGGTCAAGGTTCACGGGCATCAGTCAGCCGCAAATAGGCACAGCTCTGTCTTGTTACTGAATGTTTTATGGTGAAAGGTGATGCTCAAAACTGACTGAGAGTACGAATTATACACTAATTTATGTTTCAGTTTGAACTAAGCATGAATTATTTTGGTTGTGACTAGAACTCTCGTCGGGTGTCATTGAAATGTCCCAGTTTGTCATTCTGTTTAAATGTGATTTCTTGGTAAAACCATCTCACTTTTTCTCTTCCCGATTTCTATAGATGGTGTCATCGAATATTTCCTGCACAGGTCACCTGCCTTTGGACCAAGGAGGATGTGCAGAGTAATGTAATTACTTTGGTGAAGACCTTTATTAAGGGGCGTGATATTTCTAGCAGCAGTCCACTAAAGGTATAAATTCCTGTTCGTTTCTAGTCTATCTCAAATTCAGGAAGATGTTGCTGAAATGCAGAAGCGAGAAGCCAATCAACTTTGAGCATAGATGTGTCTCATTTCCCGTACGATTGTTCATCTTCTGGGAAGCTTCTAATGGAATGTTACATGCTCATTCTGGGTCTTCACAGTATGCAGTTGCCGTCAACAAACGAGGATTAGAAGATAAAGAGAAACCTGGGGTAACTACAGCATCAGTATTTGGAAAGCCCGAATGTATTCACGCGGTAGCAGAAGCTATTCAAAGTCTTACAGAATACATATCTGTGGACTTAACGAACCCTCAGGTGGTATCAAAATCTTTTTAATAGATTACGTCGTGATCTTGCTTAACTGAGACTCTGCTGTCCATTTTGTGGTATAGTATGCACTTAGGTACTCTAGCTACGAGTTTCTACTCTAGTTTGAGACGATCAAAGCTTCTAGTGTTACAAACGTGGGTAATCCATGTTGGGTTGCTATTTTAAGAATAGCCCCTCAACTTCCAGAAAACCGAAACCTGAGTACTGTGTCACCAGGTTGTCTATGAATTTCCAGTTCTGGTAGTATGCATGATAATTTCTCTATTTTAGAGTCCCCTTTCGACATCCCCGAACGAGAGGGATCTGACCAGAAGCGTAATGGATAGTTGCTGATGTAAGTTTTGGTTGCAAGTGCAGATGGTGGTTATGCTTGAATTACTTCCACTAGTACGCGTGGGGACATCTGTTTGTGCAGTATCTGTTCTTCCGCGAGAGCTTGTACTTACAAAACCGAAGTTGGTGATTCAAGCCTTGGCACCTCCCAAGAAGCAGAAGAAGTGAAATTAGTTCACGAAAGGAACAGAACAAATTTTTTTAGTGTGCCTGAACTGCTTTAATGCTCTGTTTTCTGATTGATCAGTGACCAGTCGATCGCTTATTTACCAAGTTTGCTGGTTTTTGAAATCCATATTTAAATTGTAAACGGTCACGTCCAATGACCGTTTCAGAACCTTCACATCGTCTGCAAATTCAGCCTTAGAATCTGTTCATTTCACTTCGTCAGAAACATGTTAGACTCTGCAACACTTCCACCTACAACGAATATTTTGTGGTGAATGCGTTATTGAGTATCTCCTGCCATGTCGCCATGGCAGTATGTGGTCGTCAACGGTTCTAGGTTTGTCTTGGAGTTCTAGAATGAGCTCTTTATGATGGGCGTTTACGGTGAATTTATTCGGCCTCATGTACTGTAAGGGTCATGTGATTCCTTAATTTAACTCTGGAATTATGCACATAGCATTTTGTTATAATCCTGTTTTAGAACATGGCGTACCCGGGAACGTTCTGTTGAACAACTGCTTCTCATCTGAGAAATTAGCTAATGATCTCTTGGAATCAGTTCAGAAAATGTGCTGCTCTGGACAGTCTACGATTCAGTGATTAATTCCATGCGGTATGTAAAGTGAAAGTACCTTGAATGTTTATTTAGCCTGGTGAGTCTAATGTCACAACTAATTGAAAATTCTTCTCACTATTTTGAAGCATGAAATCATGGTGAAGAAAGATATTAGGACAATGATTTTCTGTGTTATCAAAGACATCATTTTGTGTCTCTTTTTGACTTATTTGTAAGTGACTATCTAGTTCACCATGTTAATTTCTAGTGAGCAACCACCACATAATGCTCCTCCATTCTTAGTGCACTTCTGGCTCCAAGGGTACCAAAAGCATAAGAGAATATTATTTGTACAATATTTATGCATTTTATAACTCTATCAGAAATGTACAATTTTATTTTATACTTTCGATTAAAATGATAAAAGGGCTAATGAATTCATCCTAAAATTATTATTACAAAATAGTTTAAAAAATCAATATAAGAAAAAACTTGTCTAAAGTATGAAGATAGTTGTTATAGATTTTGATTGATCTTATGTTTTGAGACATCTTCAACTAGGGAGTTTGGAGTTATCTATAGTAACCTCTTAATAGACTGTACTTTTTTATCAAAAAAATATATTCTGAATTGATATTAATATTCTAAATCATTCAAATAAAAGTATGATATTGGTATTTAATAGAATTTTTCTTTATTGCTTTAATTATATTTATAAAAGGTAAATTGAAATAATAAATAAAGTTTATACAATAATGTATGCATAATGATAATGATAATATCTAAATTATACAATAATGTATGCATAATGATAATGATAATATCTAAATTATACAATAATGTATGCATAATGATAATGATAATATCTAAATTATACATAAATAATGCATAATATAAAATTATATATATATATATATATATATATATATATATATATATATATATTATAGTACAAAATGAATTAATGTTTTGTTTATTTTAACATATAATTTATTTTAAATTTAAATATCTAATATATATATATATATATATATATATATAAATTATTACTTAGCCATTTGATTATCAATATTTCATGGCTATAAAAAAATTTATAAGTATCATTTTAAAATTTAAATATCTAAATATATATATCTATATATATAAGTATGTAAATTATTACTTAGCCATTTGATTATCAATATTTCATGGCTGTGACAATTTTTATAAGTATCATTAGTATCAAATAACATATATTTTTAAACCAATGAACTATTTGTTAAAAACCCCAAATATACATTATAAAGTGGAAATATTTTTTAATCATAAAATTGACTTGTTTCCATCAAAAATAACTCTAAAAATAAAAATATACTATAAAATATAAGCCTATTTGTATAAAATCTTTAGATTAAAAGATGTAATAGTTCATAATATGTCATATTTAAATATTAAAAAATTTTAAATTAAATATTTATAGATATAATAAGTTATATTTTTTATTATTTATTTATGTTAATATTAGATAATGGTTTAAAAATTCTACAATAACTTTTTATTTTCATTCACATAGAAAGGATCTATTTTTAGAAGTTATTTGCAATTAAGAGAATAATTCTTACCTGATTATTTATATTATTTAAAAAACCTTTCTAAATTCTTTATAAAATTTTATTTTTTTATAAATATTGTCTAAATGAAAGTCATATATTGCAAAAGTAAGAAATGATTTTCTTGCTTTCATATTATGAGTTAATAATTTATTTAAAATCAATCAAATAGTGTATAATTATTTTTATTAAAAATGCTATATAAGTAATATTATTGAAGATAATTTTGATTGATTTTAAATCAGTTATAAAAACATAAGAGAATTTATTTTAAAAAATAAAATAAAATAAAATAAAATTAAAAATATATATTTTAAAAATCTTTAAAAATCTATGTGTTTAATATTAAAGACATAAACCACAACAAAACTTTAAAAAGACACTATATTTTGTGTTCCTCAAAGAGAATGCATGTAAATCAAAGATAAAATAGAAAATAAATAAATAAATAAATAAATAAATAAATGCTATTACCTAATACAAAGAAAGTAGAGAGTCTTGAACTAAAACTAGAATATAAGAAAGTATTGACAAGAATGAGGAAGGCCACACTTTTGCCTCTATATATAATATCTAATGTAAGAATTACATGACAATGTTGTTTAAGCCATAAAACATATGTCCAATTTGCAAGACACATGTCTAACTTGTAAGACGAATTTTAGACATGTGCACTACATGACCATCTTGTAATACAAGTGGCCAACATGTGCAATATGTCACCAACTTGAAAGTCAAGTTTTCAACCTACCAATTACCTAAAAATACTTATAAAATCAAATCCTAGTTTAAAAAGCTTTTAAGAAGCTTTCTAATTAGATATTATTATTTAAATATACTTTTACTTACTTCTACCTAATTCTATTTAAATCTATTTTCTAAAGATATTATTAGAGATGAAAACTCAAAGAATATAAATAACAAAGTGAGACATTTGTCAAAGAGAGATGACAAAAAAGAAATAAGTATATATATATATTCAAGAAGAAACTAGAACCACTATTGCCAAAGACTACAAAACTAGAAATCCTTGAAACTAGACTAGAAGCAAGAATAGAGTTGAGAAGAGTGAAGAAGGCCTCATTTTTACTTCTATATGTATTATCTAATATTGAGCTCCATGGCAATGTTCAATATGACCTCCAATATGTATCTAATTTGTTAGTCACATGTCTAATTTGTAAGACAAGTTTCTTATATGTATGCTATATGTCCAACTTTTTGGCCAAGTTTTCAACCTACCAATCACCTACAGATATGTTTAAAAGAAAATTTGTGTTTATGAAGCTTATCCACAAAATATCATCAAATTTACCTACTTTTACTTATATCTATCAACTCATATTATTTTGGCAATTACTAGAATAAATACATATATTTCTATGACATTTAATTTATATTAAAAATAATATAATAATATCCTATAAATAAAATACTATTAATTTAATATATATTATTAGTTATTTTTGTATATACTTCTATTTTTAAATATTTTTTAATAATAATTATTAAACCAACCATTAAAATTATAAGTATAATATAAAGAATATTTGTCACTAATAAAATATATATTATTTTTATAAATTAATAATTTAAAGATTTCAATGCTTTGATGATATTAAGATGCTAAAATCTGTATAACATCTAATTTTTTTATTAACTTAAATTATAATATAAAAATTTGAAAATTATAATACAAAAATTATAATATAAAAATTTGAAAATTTTATGAGATAAATATCAATAAAAATACTAATATAATAAATAAGAAATTTAAAATTAGAATAAAATTTTTATCATATTTTTTCTGATTTAAATTTAAATCATATTTTATTATCACCTTTTATTATACTAGAATTTTTTTAGATTATTATAGCAATTAATTACAAACAATACTAATAGTAGTAAGTCTAAAAATCTCAAGATGCTAAATTTATAATAATTACTAAGATAAATTTAATTTTAGCTATTTTATAATAATATATAAAACTATAAAAATCTATTATTTAAAATATATAAACATAAATATATTCACAAATTGATTGAAGGTTCTAAAATATATTCACAAATTGATTGAAGGTTCTAAAACTATTAAATATATAAAAAATAAAATGATTTTAGGTAGTAATATAGAAAATAATTTAACTTTTTATAATACAAAAAAAATTCTACATAGATTATATAAAATTACTTAGATTATATAAAATTACATAAAGTAAACCATGATGTTTTTACTTTTTTTTTGTTTTTAAAAATATGTATATGTCTTACTAATTAGTCAAGCTTTAGCTATAGACTAATGTAAAAAAAATACAAATGTAGGATTTTTTATTTTATTTTTAAAAGTATTTTAGTAAACTAATCTAAAAAACCCATCACATTTTATAAGTAGAAATTGTCTTAATTTAAAACTTAAAATACTTAGAAAAAATTTAATCAAAAAACTATTATTGTACATAATTGAAGTATATATATATACATGTGTATGTGTGTGTGTGTGTGTGTGTGTATGTTCTAACTATTAAAAGACTTATACACAAATATGAAATAAAAAATTTTGAAGTCTAAGATTTAAAAGTTGATGTATATGACTAAATAAATCTATAGCCTAAAAAAAAAGCAAATACAAAGTAGCAATTAGAAATATCTTAAAAACACTTTATAATTTTAGAAATTCACAATTATTTTTTGAATGTTTTTAGAAGCTCCTTTAAAACTTTGGTTTTTTAGTAGATTCAAAGTTTAAAGTTTTAAAATCAATTCGCTCAATAAAATTTGAGTTCTTTTCAATATGTCTGATTGTAGACATTTAAAAATTCTGGTTTCTAGTTTTATATCTTGTTTCTTTTATATTTCTTGACTAAATAAACCCATGTTGTTGTCATGGAAAGTTTAACTCAAATGAATATGCTATTATTATAACTATTAACAAACTATTAAAAAATATGCAATTTTTAAAATTATTAATAAATTATTTTATAATAACTTATTCTTAATTTATTACATATAATTTTTAATAATAAATTGACATTTTAAAGGTATTTTTAATATATATTATTATGTATACAAGCTTTAAGATTTGAGTACTATAAGAGAAATAAAGATAAAAAAAAGATAGGTTTATCTAAGACTAAAAAATATACTAAAGAGCATATAAAATTGAAGAGACCATAAATTAAAAAAGAAAATTTACTAACAGTAAAATCTAAACTTTAACCAAAGCCAAACAATCACTCACATGTAACTATATTTAAAGATAAAGTAAGTATTAAATTTCAACAAAATATTGTTCAAAAAAATTTACCAAAG